TGGGAAAAAAGGAAAGTTTTTTAGACCACCTTTTGAAAAAAACCCCTTTTTTTTTTTTTTTTTTTTTGAAGATGGAAATTGGAAAGTGATTACCAAATGAGATGAGGAATGATGAGAGTAGTAAATCTTCTGGCTAAATAATTGAATGATGCCCCGTAGAATTGGATTCTTTCTCTGTCTACACTATAGAGATCCTACAGGAATCAACTCAAGATGCTTTAAACATAGATTTTTTTGTGTGTGTGTGATAGTCTCTTAATTGTGTGGCTTATGGGGGTTGTGTTTTGCTGAGTGTTGAATATACTTCTTGCGCTGCCTGGAGTCAAATGGGTTTTATCTCAAATTTGGCACCCAAAATGATTGTGTGCTCGGGAATGCAGTCTCTCTGTAGTTCAGTGTCTTGCTTCCAATATTCAGAAAAGGAGGATTATGAGAATAAGTCAGTATTTATGAACTGCTTAGTCTGTATAGAGATGAGCGTACTAGAAAAATAGTGAGAAAATTATTGTGCTTTCATGTGTATAACCACATGTTGGGTAACTCAAACTTTTACACCCTTATTTCTACTGATAGGAATACTGAGATAACCGACATCCCTCAAGTAAAACCCAGGTTATTCTGAGTGTATTGATTACATACGTAATGCAGGAGAGCTTTTACGCTTCAGACTTACCTCATATAAGTAATGTCAGCAAAAAATGAAAAGGGGCTGAAAGGAATGTAGAGTGGGGCCTTTTGGGGAGGGGAAGGGCAACTGGGAGAACGTAGACTCCCAGGGAAGAAGGAAGAATGGGGGTTGAGATGGAAATGGAGAGAAGCTGGAGATAAGGGATGGAGAAACAGAATGGGGAGCTGGTCAGGAGGAGGACAGTGCCTCTGGAGTGCTACAGAACCTGTCCTGAGGCCAAGCAACTAGAGCAGGTTGCTGGGCCATGGAACTGGCAGGCGCTCACAGTGCTGCCCGGGGTTGTTCCCCTAATTTGCAACCCTGCTCAGAATACTGATCAAGCAAAGGATTTTTTCTCAGGGATCAATATCAGATCAGCAGTATCCTTTCAATGCATGTTGTAAGGTCTTCATTCAGTGGAAAAATAGTATGTGACTGTATAAATGAAGACTGAATTTTATCTCTACTCCTACCATCCTGAAAGACTAGCAAGTCTCTGATTCTTTGCTCACTGATGTTAGACGTACAACTAAAAAGATCAGTTAAATGTATTGCACTTACGTTCATATTCTTACTGTCTTTATATCCTGAAGTTGTGGCAGAGGTGCAATTTCCATTGCTGTAGTTGAAAGGGTTACCTACAAATCAATGACCTTTCCATTTGGTCTTTCTTTTGCAGTTTTGGTGTCTAACTGACGCTGTCTCCATTACTGCTCTCCTCTGCTCCTTTGTAGGTTTACTTGAATGGATTGTAGTTTTTGTATTACAGGCTTCCAAGACTGAGGAAGTTACCTGTCTTTTGGAAAGCTTTGTGGAAACTTGTGGTGTGAGGTGAATAGTATGGATTTTTCAGTTTGAAGAAAGTCAAGATGCTAGGACAAAATAAAAATATTAGATTCTAGTAGCATCGCTAAACAGAATATTCTGGTTTTTTGTTTTTCCTGAGAAATAGTATACCTTTGTATTTTGCTGAGTGCTATTGCATAGTTTGTGATAAAAATTGTCCTCGGAAAGCATATTAGCTAATCTTCTGAGCTCATTGCGTTGGATACAGAATACATTCTGTTAATTGAAAAATAAATGATACATAAGATTTTAAAAGATTTGGGTTTTTTTTTAATTCCACAATTATCTATGAAGAATCACATGTTATGAGTGTATACTACAAATACTAACTTTCGGTTTGTCGTATTAGAGTTCATGAAGGGTTAGGCTTTGTCCTTATAAAAGCATTTCACTTTCAGATTCAAGATAAAACATTCCTGATTTCTGGAGAGATCTTCAATGAAGGTGATTCAGTTTACTTGAAGTCTTCAGTAAATGGAAAAGTGTGTAAGTCCAAATTGGTCATTTTGGACAACACCATTTATCTCTTTTTTCCGGTAAAGTTTCTTTCTTTATTATCACAAGTATAAAATTTCAGAGTTTTACCCATGTAAATGAACAATATAAATTACAAAAGAAAGTGAAAGAGAATCATAATTTCAAGTTCTTAGGTGGTTCATACAATGTTTTGATACTTGTTGGATTTATAGCTATAATTAGAAGTTAGTTGCTTATGGTCAGTGAGTGAGAAAATAATTACTTTTAGAAAGAAAATACAATTAGGTGAATCAGTTGCAGATGATGGTTTGGGGAGGGGAACACAAAATATTAGTCAATTATCTAAGTTTATCATAGAATGGTAGCAATTATTTCAAACTGATTATTTTAAAGTACTTGTAACTGGTATTTTTATTTCCGTGTATTTAATTTTTAATATTAAATGATAAGAAAGAAATTGATATTGGTCTGAGGAAGGGTAACTTCAGCTAATATTAAAAAATGGGAATTATGAGTTACCATGGCATTATCTGCATTGCATGAATAATGGCATTTGAAAGAAAAGGGACCCTAATTTGCATGATTAGGCTGGTAATTTTTTATTTGCAGTTAAAAAGATTACAGGGCATTAAAGTAACTCAATAAAAATGCAATCTAAATAAATAAATTATTATGTATTCGTTTCAATAATTAACCACTAGCTCTGAGCCCCTTAAGACTTTCAGCAGAATGCAGTGAAAACTTTGCTGCTCCAGCGATGAGGACAATAAAACTCGTGCTGGAATGGCAAAGCTCAGTTTTCCTGTGGTATCAAAGTGGAGTCTGAGGTGGGGGATCTAGAAGAAATCACAGGAGTTTTAGGATGTGGGGGAGAACGAGTCTTTGGGACAAACTCTGGGTAGCAGGTCTGAGAGGGATCAGGGCATTTTGAATGACGGTGAGAATTTTTTGCTAAGCTTAGCACTGAATCCATTTTGTTGTAGATCGTGAAATGCTCATGTCGGCAATGCTTGGCAATGAAGATGCCAATGCCTTTCTTACTTGTTGCAGCAACCTGCCTACCCCTTGTGCAAACAGCCTTTACTCATTTTCTAAAGCCTTCTGCGCCGTTGCTGCGTGAATAGGGAAGGTGTGGGTTTGGGACAAAGCTCCACGTGGAGCCTCTGTTTCACAGGGGTAGTTCCTTCCTTGCTGATCCTTAGCAGCAGCAGGCGCGGCTTTTAAGGACTTAGACATGGGCACAGTAGTAGCGTGCCCACAGGTGTTTTGCTGCCCTGGCCCCAGGAGTCTGCCACCCTAAAGAGCTGACTGATTTGGCTAAAGCTGGATCTGTTCTTTCCCTGTATGTCAGCATGTCTACTGGTGGTATTATTTTATGTTGTTAACTCACATGCCATTGATTTTATTTCTCTAGGAAGGTAGTGCTCAGATTGGCCTTCCCGTACCCAAGTACTTATCTGCAGTAAGTTCAGTGGGAACGCAAAGTGGTGCTGTAGCGCCCATGACGGGCACAGTTGAAAAGGTAATTATAATAATACGGGTAGGAAGTGAATTCTCCAATACATATCCAAGTTCACGCTTCCAGAAATGGTGCTTGCTTCTGTACTGCCAGGAAAGAATGAGAGCCAGAAATGGCAGTGCTGTGTGGCTTCTCCCAATTGGAAAAAGCCCTGTTTACTCTGATTTCAGCAGCCACCCAGGAGTTTTTCAGGCTTCTAGTCATCTTTTTCTGGAGCTTTGGAAGATCTGAATATTTAACTAAGCCTACTACTTAAATAATTTTTCCTTCATCTTAATTACTTTCTAAGTCAAAGTTTCATGAAGTGTTAAAGGCTGTTTGACCGATTTCATCTAACCAAAAGAATGAGATGCTAGATGCACTTGCAAAAAAAGAAATATTCAGAAATGCCTTTTTTGTTAAGATGTGTGTTTTGCTGCTTCTGTTTCTGGTTTTGTTTCTTTAGCTCAGCAAGTCTTGTATATTTTTCTGTACAGTGGAAAAGTTTCAAGGGAAAAGAGATGTCCAAGAGAGTTTAGTAGTTAAAGGGTTCTGCTAGCAATAAAAAAGCATGAACCCTTTCACAGGGTGGAGTACATTGAATATGGATTGCTTACATGCTGAGTGAACAGTCTAAATTAAAGGTATTGCAGAAAAACTGGGTGGCTCCTGCAATCTTCTTTCTGGATTTTGTTTTAAAAACGACTTTGGTGACTGGCTCCAGGAAGAGGTGGTTCTCAAAATAGAAGCTCTTAAGCACAGAAAGCGTAGAATATTACATTGTCTCTTCTAGTGTTTCTTCTTTGATAAATAAATGGCTTCCTGGTCATCCTGTTACTGAACCTCTTTCTATAGCCTCCGACTCCCCTTGAGTATTATCTAGAGAACTCAGATACCCAGTTCAACAGTAATAAAGATATTATGAGGCTGTTTTGGAAAACCACAATCACTCAGTGGACTGTGCTAGCCAAGATCCAGCAGATGATTTTTAATGATACAGACATCATGATTTTTTTCCCAATTCTCTCTTGAATTGTAGGTGTTTGTGAAAGCAGGGGATAAGGTTCAGATTGGAGACCCTCTGATGGTTATGATAGCTATGAAAATGGAGGTGAGTGACATAGAAAAGGTTTTAATTACTGAGAAAATAAAAATCTGGTCATAATTTAATTATTTGTGGTTGCATTATTGAAGTATGGTGCAGATTGTAGCTTGCAGATGTCAGTATCACTTTATATGCTGTAAAACAAGTGTTGTCTGAGTAGATTTTAGAGGATTATATTTGCTGTTACTTTATTAACAAATGAAGATGATATAATCCATGCTATTCTGCAGGTGTTTTGACATTCATTTGGTTAGCTTTGTCAGTCCTTCTCTCCCCTCCCAAGAAATCAATAATCCTTTATTTTTCTAGTGGAAAGCTGTCTAGGTATCTCTCTTGCTCACTGTCTGTGATATAAGCATATGTAATGTCTGCAGTTACTTCATGCAGAAATTTAGCTAACGATGACTTTGTAAATATGCCCAGGATTTTTTTGCTTATAATCTTTTTATTATTATTTACATAAAGTTTTACCAAGAGCACACTAAAGACTCTTTGTAATTGTCCACATGGCATTCAGGGGACTAGTATTTTGGCCATTACATCTTGTCACATTGCTTGACCATGGCTCAAATTGCTTGAATTACAGTTTTTGTAGCCTGAACTGGTTTGGTTTGCCTATTAGCTTATTTTAAAATTCAGTTTGTGGTAGCAGAATTAACACTTGAGAAAATTCGCCTTTCCCTTATCATGTCCTTTTGTAAATTACACTAAAATTACATGAAATACATCATCTGTGCACTAAAAAAATTAAACCCAAAGTTATTTGCGATTGGATGTTGAATGTTTGCGCCTCTCCAGCTGATATCTCAGACTGACATTATCTGAGTTATCTTTTTTTTTCAGTTATGAAATATAAAATGTAAAATTTAAAAAGCAAATTATTATTTAAACGAATCCTTGGTTAGATGCGAGGATTCAATATCTAATATTAAATGTTTTTATATTAGACTAACCCTATTTAGAGAATTACCAAGAAACAAAACTTCAATGGAAAACTAACCTGATACAATGCAAGTAGACCAGTTTGGGGGTTGGTACGTAAACATGCTGTTCCTTTACTGTCACTAGTAGCTGTATTTGTATTTCATCTGGATTTTGCCAAATATCTGTTCAATAAAGACCCCTCCTGGCCAGCAAACAAAAATATCTTTAGTAAATCGGCAGATTCCTCTTAAGGGAACAAAATTGCTATATGATTAATGTTTTGGAGTAAAATTGTATTATTTCTGCCTGGTATTTATTATAATAACAAAAAGTATTAGTCAAGTAAAATAACATTCAGCTGTTCATACTTCAAAATATAACATTATATAGCATTTTTGTCCCCGGTATATTCTTATCAAAAGAAATATTGATGAGAAAATGAAACTTGAAAAAGGTCTAGGATAACATTTTAAAAGAAGGTTTAAAATAAATATACATGTCAGAGGAAGTAATTGTGTTCTGTTCTAATTGCACCAGAGAGTAATATTAGCATTTGCTGAAGGGGGTGGGGAGAAGAAAAAAGTACTCTGCCGGTTCACTCTTGATCTGTTTCTGTGCAGCATACCATCAGGGCTCCAAAGGCAGGAGTGATAAAAAAGGTTAATTTCCAAGAAGGTGCCCAGGCCAATAGACACGCTCCACTAGTGGAATTCGTGGATGAAGAGGCCGAGTCAAAATAAAATTAAAGGAAGGTGCATTCTATTTTTCTACTTTGCTGATTTTCTCTCAAGAGCAGACTTCTTCATGTTTTCAGCAAACTGTTTTGTATAATAGATTGAGGAATTGGTTTCCTCTGCACTTCCTACATAGTTTGACTGTAAATTATGCTGACTTTACTGAAATTTGGATATCACTATACTGTAATTCTGTATAGAACTCGTGGACCTCTGTGATTGTTGTTCAGTGGTTATGTTTGCCTGTGAAAAAGGCATTAGACTGGAAAAAGATGTGGAACTCTTAAAGGATGGGAGAGGTTAGTAAGGACTGTAAGTTACAGACAGCTAGGGTTCTTTTGACTACTTTTTCATTCACAGCTGCCTTTTTTCCCTGAGATGTGAGAGCATTGACCCAAAGGAAATCTGAAAGGTGACAGTTGTTTTATGAATTCATTTCTCTGGCACTGTTTGTGGCTTACGCTTTTGCCTGAATAAGGGAATTCAGGATTGTTCCTTAACCCAAGATCCCTCTCAGTCATTTTTGGTGCATCTTTTTTCCCCGTTTACCTCAATGAGTAGTGAAAACTTGCATTTCAAAAATTACTTTAATATACTTTGAAATATCTGCGACAAAGCATTTTAAAAATACATATTAGCATTTGCTACACTAATCGAAGCTGGAACGTCACTGCTTTCCAAAAATATCATTTGATCTTTAAACATGAAGTAGTAGCACAAAAAGATAAGCTTATTTAATACTTAGTGTGCCAAAATAGAATAACGACTTCAAAATCCTCATTACTTTTCGCATATTGTTCACTTTCTAATATATTACTTATTGGCTGGAATGAAGCATACCAAAGTCTTTATAACAACATGAAATATGACTCAGAATAATAGTCAGATTTTTTTATATCTGCAGTGTTGCAGAAGGGAAAATTGGTAGGTTTTTTTGATATGCGAAGAAAATACTTCTCAGACATAGCATACTGATCATTTGCCGTAAATTTAATTTAACTTGTTTAAAAAGCACCTCAGAAACAGGAAAAGGGAAAGAAAAAAAATATTTTGATTGTTGCAAACTTGCAAAATCTTTTCACCTTTTAGTTAAGGTGAGGTCTTGCTTGTCATATGAACTTTCGATATACTAATTTAAGACGATAACATGGTTTATACTGCAGAAAGAAGCAAACACAGATGCTGCAGTGATCCCAACCTTGTAGTTACATCTGTGCAAATGGGCCCTTGTACTTACCTGAAATGTCCTCTGCGAATCACTATACAATGTCACGGGGAATTCTCTGATCTGATTCTGTAACTGTGCAGCCTTGCCTGCGATGCAGACAAAAATTATAAAAACGTAATGGCTCTGGATGGTCTGTATATTAAAAATATACAGTAATACTTGTCAATTTTCCTTGTAATCCAATGGCCACCTAACAAAAATTACACTCCAGTGAGAGTGTAGAACATTGCCACAGTGATTTTTATTTACTGCCAAATAAAAATTAAGCTTAACTTTGAATGTTTGTTTCCATTTTTCTCCATTTTGTTCTTTCCTTGGTTGCTTATGTTTATGCATTAGAGGGTTTTAAGCAGCTGTTTATGTATCATCATCGGATATATGACAGACCACAATCTGCAGATCACATTTAGGAAGTAATAATCCAGACAGTCACAATGGGTTTCACAGCAGGTAAGTTTAATGACTTGTTTTATATAAAAATTGAATCTCCATGTAGAAATGGGAACTCAGTCCTGAAGAGACGCTGCGGCTTGGTATATATTTTTTTCTTTCTATGTGACATTGCTGTGTTTCTAGAACCACTTTGCTACACTGAATCTGTAGCAAAACATTAAAACTCACAGCATGAAGTTCTCCGTCCACTAAATCCGCACTGCTTGCTTCATCCAGCCAGTGAAACACGAGCATGTTCCTTGGAAGCCGACAAAATGTCTCCCTTGGGAATGAAGGGAGACAAATAATTTTACCAGTTTTAATTTTGCCTCACTTCTGAAAATTCGCTGTTAGGTTTTTTCTCTATAGGTTTCCACTGAGATCGGTTTTTCAAATAGTGATGGTTTTGTTTATTTTGGAATAAAATCTTGCAGAAGTCACTGTCAGAATTCACACACTTGAAATGTTGTGCTGCAATGTGATTTAATTGAACTTGGAGATGCGCAAAGAATTATTAAAGGTAGGTTGTTCCTGTAACCCAGAATTCTAATTTACAAAATATTCAGAAATTTTCTCTTTATTACAAATAAATCCTTGTGTTTATAACTGTGAGTTGATAAGAGCCATATGATAGTAACACAGCTGTAACTGAACTGTTGTCTGTAGAACACTTAGTGGTAGAGTAAGAAAGAAAAAAATCGATAATCGTTTAAAATGCAATATTTTTGTATTCGAGCTAAAAGGATAATCTCTGCCAGTTATTCGTTATCAATATACCTTTTCCAGTAGTGCTGTAGTTCTGATACAAGAGTCATAGATACTATGGAAGCAGTGAATCTGAACTGATTCTAAGTGTCATGATCTACTCCTGCCGCCAGAGGAGAGGGGACCAGGTCGCAGGATACGCAGTTCAGCCACAGTGGATAGTCTACAGGAGAGAAGGAGGGCATTAGCGTTCCAGACTATGGCTTCTGTGAGACAGGATCAGAGAGCAGCACTCAGGGAGCTTACTGGTCAGCTTGTTACACCAGGTATGTGACATCCTGCTTGGGAGCGTGAACGTTACCCTACCAAAATGACAGCCCTTCATAAACTCGAGTTACCCACCTCTGGGGATCTCCGTCTCTCTTGCGCTCTTCAGCTGCTGTACATTACTGTAGCTTATACCCGGGGAAGATTGTGGCGTGGAGCCCGAATTCTGGCTGAATCAGTGATGAGGACACAGGGAGTGGAAGGCAGGAGAGCAGGACTGTGTCCTCCTTTCAGCCACTGACTCACCGTGACTTCAGGCAAATCACTTAATAGATATTTGCCTGTGTTTCCTCCTATTTAATGAGGTTGATGGTAATCAAAACCCTGCAAAATCTGTGGACACGGTGATTTATAAATAATTGTTTTCCATGCTTGCTGGTACAAGTGTAATTTCAGATGTAGACTTTATTTTTACATGTAAGGTTGTTTTTACCCTTTATACAGTAAATATCTATAATAGTGAATTGTAAAAATAAAGTTTCCAATATGTATTGAATCCTTTGTTGCAATAGTTGTAACTGCCTAGTTACCAGAAAATCCTAGCTTCTGTCTTCATGATGATTAAAAAAAGAACACTCAAGTGTTTTGGCAGGACCATCAGAACTTAAGTCAATGGTAGGGGAAAAAAATGAAGTTGAGCACACTTTAGCTTTAATCTGTTTTCAATATAAACACTTCTTGTGCCAAAAAGTTGCTCTTGAAATGCTAATTGGTCTCTGTGAATGGCAGCCTATCTACTCGCTTAAAAAGTAGAGAAAGCAGGAGACGTTAACGTCCTAGAGCCAGCAAAGCTCCAAGGAGGGTCTGGTGAAAAAGCCTGCTGCTGAGAGCTCCATCCCTCTTTTGCCTCTCTGAAAAGGAGAGAGACATCTTATTCTAGGCTCTGCTGTTTCTGTCGCTCATCAGTGTGTACTGGCACACACTGAACAGTCATAAATACTGGTATGATAACTGCAGCCGAAGACCCTGCGCATTTTCAGTGTGCTAAGCGTTCCAGAAACATAAGGCATAGCTCTTGCTCTATAGACTTTTAAAATGAGATAAAATATGAACTAGAATAAACCAATTTAAAACCAGAGCTGTTATGTACAGGTGTGGTTAATGCATGTTTTCCTTGAAGTGTGCCCCACTGTATTGACGTTGATAGCTAGTCACGGGCATGGAGGTTAAAATTTGCCGCTTAGATATCAGAAAATTAGTATTGGCTGGGTTGTGTAGACACGTTCCCAAACACCGTTATGACAGTGTGAGGAGTGGAAAAGGCTGAATGTGCGTGACATGTATGGCGGGAGGCAAGAGTCCTCTTATTACCCTTGCTTTGTGTGTCTGCATTACTCTTGCAGACTGCTTGCATCAAGGCAAAAGGCTCTGCCTTCTATACATACAACTTAAATTACTGTTTCATACATTAGTAGCAAAACGTGTGCTCAGAATTCAGATGGCTTATTTTTATTAAGTTGAACAATTAAAGATGGCACATAGAGAAAACCCCTGTGATAGGGAAGTAATTGTGTCAGTATCCTAGATTCTTGAAATCACCCAGAATTCTTTGTAGTGAGAACAGAAAGCTGTTTACGGTTCTGAGGTGTAGGTTTTAATCATGAAATCATAGCCATGATGGCACTGTCTGGTTTGTAGCTTGGGAAGTTTCAAATCATTCTGTTTACAAAGATCATACGGTGTTTACAGTTCTGAACTGAAATGTCAGTATCTCATCAGAATCAACTAGCTTTCTCAATTCATATTGCCCGCTCATTTCTTAATTCCTGTTATTTAAAATGCCTTGATTTTAGTCTATGCATCTCGGTACTTCTGATGAGTTCCAAGAAAATACAGAAGTCTTGCAGTCTGTTGCCTGTTAGGTGTCTTGGAAAGTCTCAGTTTATTCAGGCCTGCCAGGGTACAGTTAGGTACATGAGAAGTCTTCAGACTTTCTTAGGCTAACTGACCTGACCTCTCTCCTTTGTCCCATAAAGCTGTCCTGCTCCCTCCCAGAGATACTGTCATGTGGAACCCAGCTCCTAACAGTGCCTTCGACTGGGTGTAGTAACTTGTATCTCGTGTAATGGAGGGAGGATGAAAAAGTTAATGGAGGTGAACACCCTTCCCTGCAACCTATTAACAACCATCTTCAGATACTGGTGATGTGCCAGTTTGCAGGTTAAATTGCGTAGACACCGGCAGGAGGACTCAGACTGTTTACTTCCTCTCTGCCGCTTTCAATACAGAAAAAATTATATAGGCCGATGTGGACGTTCCAACCGCATCAGCTGAAGAGCGGACAGGAGCAGACCGCGGGGTCTGTACCTGCGGACGCTAAGGACTTCGTGCCTTTAGAGTGGCATTAAATCTCCTTGTGCAGGACAGTTGATGGGACTTTGTTCTCTTAGTCGAACATGCGGCCAGCGTTTGCAGGCAACGGGCCATTAGTCATAACCACTTTATGGCTATTCCATCAGTGTAAGATAAATTGGTGGTTTCACTTTCTAGAGCGTAAAGTAGCTGACAAAAAGAAGTGGGGGTCAGAAAGACGCTTCTAGGCCAGGCTGTCCCAAGTTATTGTTATCCTCCGTGGAGCTTTGGGCCTCTTCCTTGGAAAGCGCTCTAAGTGGAAGTTCCCAGCGAGGGGATGACACTAAATGGAGTCTGCATTGGCTCAACGTGCGGCTTGCTTCTCTGTCTGCTGGAGAGCTCGAGTCAGTGTAAAACAGATCAAGGTTCTATTCAGAACTAGGCACTTGACACACCTGGATTTAAAAAATCCCTGACTGGTTCTCCTGGGGTTCACATGAGGTGATAAAACATCACTGGATCACACAACAAAACAAGACAAGTATGTCAGCCTTACCATAAATTAAACAAGTCGTCATGTTACTGTGGTCACAGTGATTATGCTGCATGCAGATTGCCCAATGAATAGTATTTCCTTCTAGTCTGCATCACTGAATGTGTGCGTCATGTTTACAAACACCAGAGCTGTTTAGCACTGGTCTGACTTCTGTGCCGTCCTGGATGGAGTTGTACAAAAGCTGACAAGTAACGAGCCCAATTTAGACAACTTATTCTGAATATGTACAAATATGCTTTTTGGCAGCTTCATGGTGCCCCTTGCTTTACAAAGCATCTGTTTTTCTCAGAAATGCTAAGGGTGAGATTCAGACAGCGGACACGTCACTAAAGCTCAGATCTGCATCTGCGGATGTACAGCCAGCCCGTAAGCACATGGACACGAGCGGAACTGGGGCCACCTGACTGTGTCCTGAAGCGTGTGCTTGCGGGCTATGCCTACTGCAGCGGGCCGTGCACGGAGAAGATAACTCGGACAGTCTAATCAAACTGCCTCAGGCTGAGGCACCAGATAGCCTGGCCGTGGTAGCCAAGAGCTCTGGGTAGGCTAGCTTACCTTGGCCTCTGCGATTCAGACGTACCTGTGGAAGCACCCTGGAAGTCAGGACTGAAGAGCATGCTGTAACTTCCACTAGAATGAGTAACACTAGACTTCCAACCTAAATGGCAGCAGGAAGCCACTCTTATTCTTTTCTCTGTACAGTTTCACCTTATAACTGAACTTAAATTGAAAAAAAGACAACCACAGTTGCAAAACAGCGGCATGCACACTGGGAATAGCGTTAATTTGCATTTCACTTTTTTTTATATTTTGCCTGCCCTAAGAAGCCCCTGCGAAGCAGTTAAGTATGATTTTCCATACCTTGTAAGATGGGAGTTCATAAAGTAGAGGAATTTAGTAAGTTAGATTAAATCACAAGTCAGTCAAAGCTGGAAGCAGAGTCCAAATGTCCCAGGAAAAAAAAGAGCAGGAACAATTTCTGAACATTAAAGTACGGAGAACAACTGCCACCAGACCTGCAACTAATTTAAAAATTGCTAATTTG